TCTAAATACGCAATAAAGATTTGTTCTTGTATGAAACCTTTTACGATTTAAATGCTGATCCGTCAATAGTCTTGTTACTTAAAGAATTTTTGAGCATTTTTTAAATGAAGTTGAGCAATTTACATTGTTCAATTCAAATATGTTTTAGAATTGAATTTTGATAAATAGTTTTATCAGAAAAGGTTCTGACTGAACTTTTCTAAAAAGCTGACGAGTGACATATTTTAAAAATGTGCAGATGCATGAAAAATTCATTTATATTAAGACTATGTAGATGACAAGTCACTTCCTGTTCATGCGTTTTGTAGGGATCAGACGATTTAGAAGCACATATAGAGGCAAGGAGCTGGGTATGTACATGTGCATTATACATCATGTTTGCAGATTACATCTATATCTAAGTAAAGTACTGTCAAATAAAATTTCTACTGCCTTAAGATTGATTTTTGATTTCTGAAACGATTTTACCTGAAAAATATTTTTTCTTTTCTTTTTAGAATCTGTCCAAAAAGGATGTGAAAGACGCCGTTCGGGTTAGCTATTTTAGGTCACCTGAGTAAACTCAGGTGACCTATTGCTATTCGTTTTCGTCCGTCGTCGTGCGTCGTCCGTCGTGCGTCGTCAGTCGTGTGTTTAACATTTGAACATTTTCACATCTTCTTCTCTGCAACCACTGAACCAATTTCAACCAAATTTGGCACAAAGCATGTATGGGTAAAGGGGAGCAAAAATTGTGAATTTCATGATCCCTGCCCCCCTCGGGCCTTAGGGGTGGGGCCAAAACCACTTAAAGTAATGCAATCTTTAAAAATCTTCTTCTTTACTCCTGGACATCAAGCAGTCAAACTGTTTGCATGATTGTAATCAGCATTGAGTCCTCTACCAACATTTCATTCAAAATTCATGGCCCTGGGCTCAGGGGTTCTAGTGCTAGGGTGGGGCTAAATAAGTATATAGTGAAAATGCATTATTTCTTTGAAAATCTTCACTGCTCCTGGGTATTAAATAAACCAACTAAGTACATAGTTATGATAAGCAAGAGTGCCTCTGCCAAAACTGTGAATTTTATGGCCCCAGGGTCAGGGGTTCTGGTGTTAGAGTGGGGCTTTATTGATTATATACATTGTATAGTGAAAATACATGATTTCTTTGAAAATCTTCTTCTCTGCCCCTGGGCATTAAATAAGATAACTAAGTGTATAGTTATGATGAGCAAGAGTGCCTCTACCAAAATTGTGAATTTTATGACCCCAGCGTCAAGGGTTCTGGTGTTAGGAGGGGGGGACTCTATTGATTATATAGTGAAATACATGAATTCTTTGAAAATCTTCTTCTTTGCTCCTAGGTATTAAATAAACTAAGTGCATAGTTATGATGAGCAAGAGTGCCTCATCCAAAATTGTGAATTTTATGGTCCCAGGGTCAGGGGTTCTGGTGTTAAGGCGGGGCTCTATAGATTATATAGTAAAAATATATGAATTTTTTGAAAATCTTCTTCTCTGCTTATATGGTATTAAATAAACTAACTAAGTGCATAGTTATGATGAGCAAAAGAGCTTTTACCAAAATTGTGAATTTCATGGTCCCAGGGTCAGGGGTTCTGGTGTTAGGGCAGGGCTCATTTGATTATATATTGAAAATACATGAATTCTTTGAAAATCTTCTCTGATCCTAGGAATTAAATAAACTAACTAAGTACATACATGTAGTTATGGTGAGCAAGAATGCGTCTTTTAAAATTTTGAATTTTATGGCCTCATTGTCAGGGGTTCTGGTGTTAGGGCGGGGCTCTATTACATACGATTACATAGTGAAAATACATTAAATCTTTGAAAATTTTCTTCTCTGTCTCTAGGCATGAAGCAGATGAACTACCTATATAGTTATGATGAGCAAAGGCCCTAATCTTGCAGAATTGTGAATTTCAAGGCCACAGGGTCAGGGGTGGGGGGTCTACTTATATACTGAAAATGAATTAATTGTTTGAAATCTGCTCCTTTGTATTTATAAAACATTTATTTCTTTTTTGATAGGCAATTTTAAGGGTGCCTTTTTAAAATCTGTGCAATGTGTGGACCTAGGGTCAGGGTTTTTGTCACAGTGTTAGGGGCACTACTAATTATTGCTGAATATTACTGATTAGTTGGAATGCATTTTTGTTCCCCTACCCTGCGTATGGCTATTCAGTAACCAAGCTAAGCAACTGCTAAGTGTATTGTTATAATGATCAGTGGTGCCTCTTTCAAAATTGTGAATGCCATATAGCATCTGGCTTATAACATGAATCAAATTCAATAACTGGAAAGTTGTTTCATAATGCTCAGATGACCTATAAGGCCCGTGGGCCTTTTGTTCGTAATGAAAACAAAACCAAAGAATACGTGTGGACTTTGAGCAACAAGCTTCTATTTATTTAGGTGAAACTACACTATAAGGACTTGGCAAAGAATAAATCTTCCGCCTAATCGGAAATATAATAGTATTATTACATGTATATGTTTCAAAAAGTGCAACAAATAAACCCTGTGAAGAGTGGAAATTTAGTCCTAACTATGTTAAGTTGTATACAATTTCAATCATCTTTTTAAATGACAGATTCAAGACAAAATAAAAAGAAAGGACAACAATGAAGAGGCACAGGTTAGTATTAAGAAAAGTTTTCATTCAATTATTAGGTACTTTTTTTCGCAAACTATAATCAGTTACCAGCAGTGTATAGAATATGCACACATGCTTATATACCGTATAAGCAGAATTTTTAGCGAGGATTTAATTTTGGCATTTTTAGCGAGGGTGCCAAGATCATGCACTTAAATTGAATATCGTTAAAAATTAATTGCACTTTATTTGTAATAACTTCTTTACTGACTTTTTAAAATCGCTAAAATTACATCTTGCTAAAAATAACATACCAATTTTTCAGAAAATTCGCCAAATTTGCGTCTTGCTAAAATTTCAACTTATACGGTATATATATATATATATATATATATATATATATATATATATATATATATATATATATATATATATATATATATATATATATATATATATATATATATATATATATATATATATATATACAAGCATATCATACATATAAACATTTTAAGCCTTTTGTAATATATTTCTTAATAGTAAAAGCACTCTGAAATATTTTTTGTCCCCAGCATTAAATGTAGGGGGGTATTGATTTGGATCTGTATGTCTGTAAAACTTCCGTTTCCAGAATCCTTTGAGCTTTTACTATGAAATTTGCATAACTTCCTATCACCTAAGAAAGACCACTGTTGATTTTGAGTTCAAAAGTTCAATGTTTAAGGTCATAGAATTTCTCTGTAGCAGTTTTGACTTTCGTTTCCGCGCGATATCTCGAGAAGTCTTACAGCTTCTGCAAAGAAATTTTACATAGCAACTTCCTATGACCTACAAAATATCCCTACGGATTTTGAGGTCAAAAAGGCAAAGTTCAAGGAAACAAATTCATACCTTCTGTATTAGTGTAAAGTCGTCATATTAATGCAAGATTAAGTTTTCTTTGAAAATCTATGAGAATACATGCTTTAATCCAGCCCATTATAATAATATAAATTATACAAGGTCTCGAAGAACACTAGGAAAATACATTTTGAATATTTTATTCCAATTATTTTTATACAAAGCCGTTAATAAGAAGCAGCAGAGGTCTTGTAGACTATTTCCCTAATCAATTTATTCTATATGTTAAGACATTTTTGTCCCCGCTTTTGTGGAAAATGGGGGATATTAATTTGGGTCTGTCTGTCCGTCTGTCAGTAGGTCCAACCATCTCTCTTTTCGTCTGTTACACTTATATCTTTGCGATATCTCGAAAATCCTTTAGGAATGAAATTTTACATAACGAATCCCTGTTGACCCCTATTGATCAAAAGGTCAGAGGTCAAGGCCAAATATAATAAATTTTGTCTGCTTGATCACTTACGTTTCTGCTTGATATCCTGAGAAACCTTTGAGTTTTGTAATGTAATTTTATACCTCAAACGGCCTAAGAAAGGCCCCGCTTGATTTTTTTTTTATGTAAAAAGGTCAATTGTCAAAGTCATAAATTCATTATGAGTAAAAATATCTTTTCAGAGCGATATCTCAAGAAACTTTTTAGCTTTTGCATTGAAATTTTTATAACATAATTCTCTATAGCTCCGCTCACCTATTTTGAAGTGTCCCGTCCCACTCACCTTTTCTTCAGGATCCGCGCATGTTCTTCTTTTTTTCTTTAGCGGGGGACACAGTTTCTCTTTATTACCATGTATAACTTAATTTCAGAAAAGATTAATGATTTTCTCATCGATTATTTTGAAATTATCAGAGTTTTTTCGCCCCATCTTTCTTTCGAGCTTTAACATTTAAAAAAAATGCCCCAAATTAAAAATAATAAAAAAAAAAATAAAATTGAGCAGACATTATAGTGCTCAAGAAATAACGCTGTTGTTCTTGAATTCCTCCCGTTTTAAAGTCATCCACTTGCAACGAGGCCTAAAGGGTGAACATAAAACCGGGGGAGACATAAAATAATAATACAAAATATAGACTTGCGGGAAACCCTATATTATCTTCTATAGATAAAAGAGTTGATAAGTCATCCTTATAATGACTGATACTGAGTCAGCAATATGTAAGCCATATTTGAGGGGTAGTTTAATTGTTTCTAGACCAAACACAATCACTTTTACTAATCCACTTTTACTACTATAATATGTAGATTCCATTAATGGCTTTCGGTGAATGCGACAGATCACAACTGAATACTGACCAGGCATGTAATCTTATATAAGACATTCAATGATTTTATTTAGCGCTTAAAAATTTCAAATATTCAGGAAGACTAAATTTTATTTTAAAAATATAAAGATTTTTAGAGACATCATTTGAGGCATATGTATTTTTGTTTTTTAATCATTAGTTTCCTTATTGCTTATAATAGAAAAATGTCGTTGACATACCTGCAGCTGAACAATTAGAAACGTCAAGAAAAAAGAATAATAGTGGCACAAAAGAAGTAAGTCCAAAACATTTTAGCAATGCTTAAATACAATAAGATTGATCTATATAAAGCATTTCATTGTAAGATTTGACTGATTGAAGGCTCAATAATGTTTTTATATGTACGTTTCTTTTTTATTTTGATAATCTTCTGTAATGTATGTTTTCCAGATTAGTTTGCAGACAGTGGTCCTTGAATGCAAAGACAGATATACACAAACTACAAATGCTGTGGAGGATAAAGGCACACAAACGGATGAGGTTGACATATAAAACACATACGGCTCATAATTATTTCTCAAAACTATAATTTTGGTTTAGATAAGAATCTATAGACAGTTGATTATCTAGGTATTTGATTTCAAGTGTTTTTAAGCATTAAAAAAATCTGCAATTTACCCAGTTAAATCAATGTAACTTATATAAATTTAAAAAATACCAGTACTTCAGTAAACCTGAACCAAACATATTATCATTTCGATTTCCTAGAAGCTTATAATGTTTTTATGATTTTTCTATAAATAAAAGGGCTTGAAATAGATGCTGTTTTTGGTGAATATAAAGGTTTAGACGAAGATGTGTAATTTATAAGCCAGTATTCTGAAAGTATTGCCTTAGCTATACTAGTCCCCCTTCGGCAGGTGTAATCTGGTTTCTATTAAAATTGAAAATGCCATAATTCAGAAAAAATCATTGAAGCGAGCTGAAATGCAAACTTGACCCATAAATCAGCAATGTACGTAAAGAAACATACCAATGAAAAATCAGCACAATATTGCAAGTGTTTTGGGAAAAAAGGAGAATCCCCGTAAAAATCGATAAGGTCAAGCAGAAAAAAAAAGTGCGAAAATCAAGCGAGACAAACTAACAGATAGCTAGACAGACGGACAAAAAGAGGCGGAGAAAAACTTTAATCCCCTTTAGGCGTCATCGTTAGGGGATTAATAAGAGTACTTGTGTTTATTTACTGGGTACAAGAACGTTGTGTTTCTTCTGTTTTTTTTTTAATTTGTCGAGATCTTTCCAGCAAGATGTAGGGCTTGATTCTTATATAATTATGAAAATCTAGAGGGACGACAAAAAAAACCAACCCAAAATATGAAATACATGTGTGCAATGATAAAAAGGTATTTAAAGTAGATATATAATTATGTATGGTTGATCGTAAATTCTAAAAAAAAAAAACAAAACCAAAGAGAAAAGGTGGTTGAGAACCAAATATTGTGAGAAGCAGGGTAGGGTAGTTGAGGATAAATTAAATTGATAAATTTGATATTAACTACATTCTACCTTTTAAATGTTACATTAATCCTAAATTGAACAAGCAAATTCAAAGAATTGTGGTCCCCCGCTTTCGGTGTGTTTGTTGGTGAGATGTTATTTTTTATGACATATTGTGTCTAATATGAACATCCTATCATATGTCATTTCATAGAAATTATCATTGAAGGATGAAAACCCTTTTCCTGACCGTTAAAAAGTTACGGCCAAAGTTAATGTTTTTTAAAAGTACCGGTAGGTCAACTCCAAGGTCAAGATCAAAGGGTAAAAGTTGTTGATGAAAGGTTTTCTCACAAGAATTACATATGTGAAGTAAGAAAGCCCTAGCCCTTAAGGTTCAAAAGTTGTGGTCAAGGTTAAAGCTTTCACATAAGTACGTAGATCTTTAAGGTCAAGGTCAAAAGGTCAAAGTTGTTGATATCCAATAAAATGTCTTGCAACAAGGAATGCATATGTGAAATATAAAAGTCCTAGTATCTACCCTTCAAAAGTTGTGACCAAAGTTAAAGTTTTTTTTAAAGTAGTTTAAACTCCAAGGTCAAGGTAAAAGGGTAAAAGATGTTGGTATTCAATGAAAGGTCTTCTCAAAAAGATTACATATGTGAAGTACGAAAGCCCTAGCCCTCACCATTTAAAAGTTATGGTCAAGGTTAAAGTTTTTTCATAAGTATATAAATCTCCAAGGTCAAGGTCAAAAGGTCAAGGTTGTTGGTATCCAATGAAATGTTTTGCAACAAGGAATACATATGTGAAATATAAAAGTCCTAGTATCTACTGTTTAAAAGTTGTGACCAAGGTTAAAGTTTTTAAAAAGTAGTTAAATCTCCAAGGTCAAGGTCAAAGGGTAAAAATTCTTGGTACCCAATAAAAGGTCTTCTCACAAGGATTACTTATGTGAAGAACGAAAGCCTTAGTCCTCACTGTTCAAAACTTATGGTCAAGGTTAACGTTTTTTCATAAGTACGTAAATCTCCAAGGTCAAGGTCAAAAGGTCAAGGTTGTTGGTATCCAGTGAAAGGTCTTGCCACAAACAATATATTTGTGAAATATGAAAGTCCTAGTACCTTCCATTCAAAAGTTATGGCCAAAGTAAAAGTTTGAAATTTCTGTGTAAAAGTGGGTCAAACTCCAAGGTCAAGGTCAAAAGGTTAAATTTGGTGGTACCCAAAGAAAGGTCTTGTCACAAGGAATACACAAGTGAAATATGAAAGTCATAGCTCTACTAAACCAAAAGTTATGGGCAAGGTTAAAGTTTTTGTGACGGACAGACTGACAGACTGACAGACGGACAGACGAATGAGATTTAATGTCCCCTCGCTTTCGCGAAAGCGGGGGACAATAAAAGTGAAACACTGTATAATTATACCTTTCCTCAATTTTTTTCATTAAAGAATTAAAAAAAGGTACCTGATCAATGTAAAATGCATAGAATATTTTTCTTATGTATACCATCCAAAGATATCCATTTGTCTTCCAGTGGCATTCTGTCTCTGAATTGGAACACTATCAACTGATTTATACATTTTTATCTTTTTATTTTAAGGCTGAAACATAACATCTAATGGAATTTGATCCTCCAAAGGCAAGTGACATGTTTGCTTTTAAATCATTACATCAGTATTCAATTTTGTTTCCACTGAATACACCCGCAGCTTTATTAGGGAGTTCTCCTTTTTTAAGTATAATAGTTATTTATCTATTTTTTTTTAGATCATGTTGTCCTATGTATTTCATTAATAAATAGACTTTTTTATAGGGGAATAAGAATCTTGGCAACACCTGCTTTTTCAACTCTGCGTTACAGGTAAATAAACATACTATGCCTTTACTTAGCAGTAGAACAGTTGCAGTGTAAAATATAAAGAGGATATTCAATGTTTTGTTGTTGTATATGGAATTTATTTAATGAGTGGGATAAGGATAGAATTTTTTTATATTTTCACGAATGAGATGCACGAGTAAAAATATCAAGTACAAAAAAATCCTGTCTCACGAGTGAAATACATTCTATATCTAACTCTTTGCACTCGTGAAAGTATCCTGTCCCACTCAAGAAATACATTACTTATTCTACGGTCGATACAATGACCTTGTCAGCAAATACAGTTTATCATTGAGTCAAATGCTGACTGACGTTTTTCATACTTATTGTTAGTCCATTATTTATACACTGAATTGACGACGGATTTTTCCATTATTTCCTGATCATGACAAGCTGGGGCACACGGCGGGTGTGACCGGTCGGCAGGGGATGCTCACTCCTCCATGGCACCTGATCCCGCCTCTGATGTTTCAGAGGTCCGTGTTTGCTCTGCTCCTATTTTGTTTTGTTTTATGGACTTTGTTATTGAATACTGTTCATTATCTCCATATCCTTATATTAAATACAAAACATTGAATTAGTGTTTATTATATTTTCTTTGATTTGCCGTAACATTTAACTCAGAATATCTCTTTTATTAAATAAATAATTTTCAATATTTCACAGTTGAAAATATATTTTTATTTTCATTTTTTTCATTAGGCATTGTACTTTACCAAATCCTTTGAAGATGCCATTTTCTGCCTGAAGGTAAAAACTTTCTAAATGATATGAAGGCAAATATAAACTTTAGCTGATTATGGATATGGAATAAGGTGCTATAATAAAAACAACTTATTGGTGTTCAGTGTAAAGCATATCGAAATCATATTAATTTTTATATACGTCCTATTGAAATATTATCTCTCGCTATTTTTCTCTTTATTTGAACAAGCAAAAAAGTTCTCACACATTATATATTTACGTGTACTATGCTTTTATATTTTGATATTTTATATCCCCAAAATGTTTGAAGAAATTTGCACCAAGCTTGGACAGTTTAAAACTAACAAAAAGGGTGCTGGATTTACTCGAGAAAAAGAATGTTAATCACACTCAGGAGTTGAGAGGTGTTTTGAATGCAGTAAGAAGCATGTATGTACCAAATAACATAAACATTGACTCAGCTTCTGTGTTGTGAAGTCTTAAAATTTCAGTAATCATATGCTACATGTAAATCATCACAACAAGAAATCGCATGTTTCAGAAATAATCAGTTTGGTCGTGGAACACAAGAGGATAGCTACGAATTACTAAATACGTTACTTGGAGGAATATTTGATGAACTTCAAATTGCTAATGTAAGTGTAGATATCTATTCTACATATAACCTCTGAAAAACGTGTACAATTATTAATTGCAATATACAAATGTTCGGTATAATATGAAGTTATTAGCCGCAGCTTTAAATCTGTTTCAGGAGAATGGAACATTGCGATCAACAGGTATATCATATAGTATATTAATGAGCAGGACTTCAATACCAAATTCTCTTTGCTACCTAACTATCTTGCTAACATAAGATGAATTTTTTTTTCTAGATACTGGTTCCGAAAAAAATGAAATAAGTGTGAAAAATCTGTTCACGGGTTTATTCATAACGATCTACGTTTATGACTCCTGTGATGATGTAAGTACATCCCTCGTACATAAAAAAAAACTCTGATGCGTTTTTAACATGGCAGCTGTATCATATAACATATATTAGTTAATTCTGATTTTCCCCAACGTAACATATATGTAAATCAACACATCTTATATCGTTTTTCAGGTTGATGTTGACTTTGAAGAATTTACAACTTTAAGCATTCCAATAGTAGAAGATCTGGACCATGGTTATGATGTAGGAATTAAATATTTTTGCGATGTTAATAGCATTTCGTAATAATTAATATGGAAATTTATTTCCCTTTATTACACACGTGCACTTTATTACAATAGAAATTACCGCACCATAGTTTACAAGCCATTTCTTCGGAGGAACCAAACATTGACATAGAGAAAGGTTTGGCAGTCTTAACACAGATAGAAGAATATGAAGAAAGTGATCTACAATGTCGAATTTGCAATAAAGGTACTGGTTCCTACATTGCATTCCCTCAATTTTCTTTCGTGATGTAGTAAGGAAATCGATTTAATTGACATCTTACATTCGGTTCTAATTCTCAGCAACTAAGACCTGTATGAATTCAAGTGTTTAAACAAATGGAATTGTACTTGACAATCTGACCACATGACCTAAGCTTATTTTTTATTATAGACTTAAACATTTACAAATTTATACATTTACACTATCTTTGATAAAGGAGAAGAATCTATTAATATTGAAAATTGTTTATCTTTAGAGGGTTCCGGAAAAGCCTATAGACGAATGTTGGTATTTCAAACCCCGCCCGTTCTTGTAATCCACATTGATAGATTTAAAATGGTAACCTAATTTTTGATCGATATAAATTTATCTGACATATTTATATTTACTTTTATTGTATCTTTATGAATCCTTACTTTTATAACTGTATCTCTATGAATCCTATATTAAATTATTATAAAGAAGAAGGTACAGTTTGAGCTTTTTTGTGCCTTTTTTTGTGTTCTCAAAAGCTTATGAAATTGGCTTGAACAATAGTTGAGTAGATGATTATAATAAATCATGAAAAAAATATGGCATAAAGGAGGACCTTTCTGGAAGTATGACTTCACTAATTTGGTGCATTTCTAAAGTTAATGCAGAAAAGCCTCAAAATGACTCACTTCTGTGCGAATTTTCCTTTAGAAAATAGTGTCTGCCACCGTCGCCCACTTTAAATTTTGGATATATTATGTAAACTGCTATGAGAAATCACATATCTCAAAATCTTTCCGGGCGACGGTGGCAGAGTGTACATGTGTTTTCTTGAAGAAAATTACACTGAAAATTGATGTCTTCTGCAACTTTTTAAGAAAGTACGGGAAAATGCACAAGTTAATGACGTCACAATTAGCATTGAGGATGTCATATGAGAAAAACGACTTGTATATTCTTACTGCAGGGAATTCCTATGATTAAGCAAGAATGAATTTTGATTTCTTATATCATTTTCATATTTTCAAAAAATATCGGGCTTAATTCGTTTTGAAACTGTACCTTCTTCTTTAATTTCAAATAACATTAGGAATTTTTTATTTATTTTTTTTTATTTATAGAATGATTTGAATCACCTTACGAAAAATGCAAACTGTGTCCAGTATCCTAGAAGATTAAATATGGCCAAGTTCTGTTCAGTTGCTAATACAGTATATTAAGATTTGTTTCTTTGACTAAATAATATACAATGAAATTTCTTATTTGTAATGTCTTGAAGCTATATTTTATTATAGATGGAAGACTAATGTTTGATTACTGAAAAAATCCTGCTCATTTTTCAGGAACTTTCAACAAACGGTTTGAATTACGAACTCTATGCCATCGTTATTCACTCCGGTGCGCTTGGTGGTGGCCATTATTATGCATATGTCAACGCCACAAGAAGACATGACGTAAGAAAATGGCAAGAACATCTCCACAGAACGACCGGAGAGTTGGAAGAATTAAAAAGTACAATACAGGAATATTTGAGGGACAAACGTGACCTCCAAGATGATTCAAGAAACATGGATCCATGCGAAGTGAAAGACAATTGGTTTTATGTCAGCGATAATAATGTTCGTTCAGCAAATGTTGGTGAAGTTCTATGCCATAAGGATGCTTATATCTTATTTTACGAAGTGCAATAACATTTTATGTGTTAGATGGAAAGCAGGCTTTTTCAGTCCTTGTATCTGTGACAGAAAAATTTCATTGATAATGCTTTTTTATTTATTTTAATCTAAACAATACTCCATACTATTAATGTATTCCATTGCAAAAACTTGTTTATCTTAAAATCTTTACTTAATTCATCTCAATAAATTTAATTTAAAAAATATTGTCCTACAATGTACTAGAAAAATATTAGTGATAACTGAATTTGATTGTCGCAAAAGGTGCTTTCACGCAAAAGATCCCTCACTTCTTAAAGCCGTAAGTGCCGAGTAGAGGTCTAAATAAGAGACCCTCAATCGGCAAGTGCTGGTGTCTAAATATGAGTGGAAAAATTCTTGAAAGGACGTTAATACCAAAAAACAAAAGACAAACACACAAACAAAAACAAAAGCACAAAAAAATAATAATAAAACAAAAAACAAACAAACAAGATGTGTTTGTGAAATACTGATGCCCCCATATGGCAGCTTACGGAGAAGGCTAAAGTTTCTTTATTGCAAGTCAAACCTCTAGGTCAAGAGATAAAAAAAATATGTTATTTCCCAAATAAAGTACTTGTGTCAATGGATATACCAAGTAAATATGAAAGCCAAAGCACCAACCATCCGAAAGTCATGGTCAAGTGTAATATTATCTAAAAGTGAGTTAAACTCTAAGCTCAAGGTCAAAAGGTAAAAATTAATTGTACGCAGGGGAAGTAAGTAATAAGTCATAAGTAATACACATACAAAATATAAAAGCCCTTACATCAACTCTTCAAAAGTTAAGATTAGAATTTTCTTTTAAAAGAAAGTCAACTCCAAGGTCAAAAGGTCAAATATTGCCATTCAAAGGAATGACAAGAAATATATCTGTAAAATTTGAAAGCCTTTAAATGCGAACTCTTCAAAAGTTATTGCCAAAGTTAAAGTTTTTAAAAAGTGGGTTAAACTCTACAGTAAAGGTCAAAAGGTTCAAAATATTTACACCTGTGGAAAGGCCTTGTCATAATGAATATAAATATGAATTACAAAAGCCCTAGTACTACCTGTTCAAAATGTATGGCCAAGGTTAAAAGTTGGTAAAAGTGTATCAAACTCCAAGGTAAAGGCCAAGAGGTCATATATATATTGCAACCCAAAAGGAAGGTATTTTCACAAGAAATATACATATGAAAGCCAGAGCTCCCACCAATCAAACGTTATTGGCAAACTTAATGTATTAGCGAACAAACAGTGAGGTAGACGAATGAACAGGTCAAAAACTATACTGACGCAAAAGAAACGCAACAAGCAGTAATCTACAAATTTGATTTGTATTAGATTTGATTTTTTATCTTATGATTTTCAAAAGCGAATAAACTAAGGCTAAACTCACTTTTCAGAACATCAGAGATTTGATAAAAATGTTAAACTTGTATCTGTCTGTTTACTTTACTAAGTAAAATATGACTGTTAAAACACGCCCCTCCCAGCCATTCAAGTAAAACGTGCAAGATGCCCTAAACACACAATAAATTCATTAATATTGAGATCTGAGCGAAGGAATTATTCTTTGGCATTTTTAAATGCCCGTTTTTCAGATGATCAGGTCGATTTTTCTCTAACTGAGATAGTGTAGCCACCCTTGGACTTCCGGTACAAGGACTCTCCTTAATGCATATGATACGTAAGACCCTGTTGAGGCGTACTGTAGTGAAATTTCACACCAGCAACTCTCCATCACCTTTACATTGAAATTTTCCAGCTAGAGCAATGGAAATGCGTACATAACCTTTTCAAATAACCCTAGCATCATTACGGAAAACGAATGGAGAGTTTATTTTTTGAAATAATGCTACATTACTTATGATGAACAGTAAAAACCCTTAAAACTCCATAACATTGTCAAAAGTTTTGTTAAACATGCAATTTTTGATTTCTGTAAAGCAGATTCAAACTTGACATCCGGTTATGGTATGGAAATCGTTCAACCGTTAAAATATCTAATTTACCAAATTGAACGTATTATATTCATGATTTTAAGATACAGAATTCTTTACTTTACATTATTTTCCCCCTAAAGTAGGGTGTTGCGTTTCTTTTGCGTGTCAGTATATATATAGCCCGAATCTTCGATTACGGGGGCATAAAAAAAACAAAAAAAAATGTTATACGGGTGTCTCGGACGAAATACTTGGCTCAATTTTTTTCACTATATTTGAAAGAAAATCGGATTCTTCTGTCACTCTATGAAATTATGATAATGAATTGTGCATCAAACTTAATGTACATGACATTATTGAATACCGGTAATCAGATGACAAAGAAAAAGAAAGTAGAATACCTAGAACTTTTTTTTTCAACTATCGATAAAGAAATCCGGGAAGAATCCATACCATGATTTAAAAATAGCTAACCCATATAACTGACATTCATTTTCAGAATAGCAGTCGACTATTTACACGAATCTTTACTGGGAATAAGGAATAATAATTTTTAATCCAGATTGATTTCCGAAAATAAGATTTAAGCTTTAACAATAACAGCTTCAAACGGATGAAAACTTTGTATTAAGTACGTTATTCTTAATTGACCCTATCGCAGATTGACAGCAACCATCATATTAAAGTAAGTTTTCCCCCTAAATTTGGGCCCATAGGGCATGACAGTAAAGACAGTTTTTTGCAATAAACATTCTAAATTTGAAATCACCATTTTGTTAATATTTAGATGCGTGTTCTATTGAAGCAATTATATGTATCAGGACCATTAGACCATGATTTTAGAATGTCAAGTATTAGTACATGTAACAGATATACAACATGATGTACTTTTACGGTCACATTTGTTTCAAATAACATAATATTCATCAATATTTCATACGTATTTACTTATGTTTTCGTTTTCTGAAAATATTAATGCATTGATGTCCTTCTTTCGTTTCAGCTCTTTTTTCTGAGAAATACTACTTTCGTTTGATTTCTATTTATTTAAAAAAGAGGTGAAAACTTCTGCTGGATATATTCTCTGAGAGAAAGCGAAGGTATGTTTACTTATTTTACCTGTTAGATATGATTTATAGTATGCAAAGGTCATCAATGCTATATTTCGACGTCGTGAAAGGACAGGTTTCCATAAGGCTGTTTTTGGCCCATGATGAATTTTAAATTAATATGTTTAGTTAGTCTAGTAATGTTTCCTCTGCTATAATTTATAATTTATTTGCAAAACCAACGTATATTAGTCACGTGACCAAAGGACATCTAAAGGGTCCCTCTAAAAGTGTTTATGCCATAAAAAAATCAACGTAAATTGTGTACGCTTTCTTATTTGACATATGTGCCATTTATGACAACATAAATAAAGGTATGAAAAACACTCAGTTATGAAAACAAAAGCTTTCAATATTAAGAAATATCATATTTGAAATTCAATTGTTCTGATAGAATCCCATGAATCCTACAATGTGGCATGCCTAAATAAAGAGTGTACTAAAATTTCAAGTATCTGCAATGAGTATATGTAATAGTATACGCTGAAAAACTGACGGAAATTTGGTACAGACAGACAAACAGATAAACAGGAAGTTAACACTGGATTCATACAAAAATGATTCCCACCATATGGCATGTGTGTGCTAAAAGCATCAAGCATCTACTATGAGTAATTGCCGAGAAAACTGCGCAAAAAATGTTACGGACAGACACATAGACAGCTAGACAGGCACACAAGGGTAAAAGAGCATACCCCTTCTGCTGCAGAACAGGGATATAATTTATCTGTTTGATTAATTGGACATATGATGAATGTGTATCAAACACTTTGAATGTTTAAATAAAATTATCCACAACTCAACAGATCGCAAAATTAGCAAAGTCATTAGTATCTAAGTGTGTGTTGCATTGTGAACCACAACCATATTCCAGTATACTATTCCTGCACATAAATAATTATCGAAGTATATGGTTTTGGTACTCAATGCAGCACGTGTGGTGTACTAGAAGGTTAAACAACAACCCTCCAGCATTTTTCCATAAACTCAATGTTAAAGCAGTTTAGGGTACCATACTTTAATCGTTAACTCCAATACTATGCTAACTTCTTTCTCGCAAAAAAATACAGAGCACAAAATAAGACGTACATGTTGATAATAATGAAAATAAGTTTATCCGTGTTTGTTCTGCTCTTATTTTGTATTGTTTTATGGACTTTGAGATTGTATACTGTTCGTTATCTCCATATCCTTCTTGTTATACATTTAGTTTTATTTTTCATAAGCAGAGGCCTTCTATAGTATACTAAAATGTTTTGAAGTATACATGTATTCTACATGTATAGTAAATAACATTAGTACCACTCATTCATGTATTTTTGCTTATATAAGCAATATATATTATTTTGTTGTATTATTTGTATTCATATACCCATGTTGGGGGTCTTAGTCTTAAATAAAAACTTGTTTATTTACATGTGGTAAGATCGAGTTACTGTTTGAAGTTAAAGGTAGACTTATTAAATCTGGAATTTTCCACGAATCCTGAGGACTGGAAATGAGAGGATTGCATGGATACAGATGATTCAGCTGGTTGTCATGGGGTGTGTCCCCATACCAAACCAGATTATATATAGAATAATAATTTGCGTTTTTTTTTTTGGATATTAACCAATCAGAGGATAGAATACGAATAAATTAAACTGTATGCACATGTAGGACGTCGGGTACTTGTATTAGGTAGGTCCACGTGTTATACATTATTTGATTTGTACACATTTAATTGTATATACTTTAAAACTGGGATTGGGAGTTCTAAAAATTTAATACGCTCTTTCCCTACATATGCATTATATCAAACATATTTACATATATAGGTTTCAGCTTATGAATTACTGAGTTAATACAGATACACATAATATATAATAATCAGAGCAACACACATTCAATAGAATACATTCAATATTGTAATACACATAACGTATAAAATTTACAAGAAATAATTATTATATCAAGCAAATCGTCTTGACTTTTTAATAAAAGTTTGTACAATGGAAAATAGTTATTCATTTTCAATATCATTTGACGTTTCATCTCCCGTAAGTAAAGTGTGAGTATCGACAGTATGTAATTTACCCATTCGCAAAAAATTGTCAAAAAATATTTTCTGGCTTATGTATATTTTTTTGCATGAGAAAAAATAACTCTTCCACAAGAAC